AAATAAGAAGGAGAGAATGAGGAAATAAGAAGGAGAGAAGGAGGAAATAAGGAGGAGAGAAGGAGGAAATAAGGAGGAGAGAAGGAGGAAATAAGAAGGAGAGAAGGAGAGAATGAGGAAATAAGAAGGAGAGAAGGAGGAAATAAGGAGGAGAGAAGGAGAGAATGAGGAAATAAGAAGGAGAGAAGGAGGAAATAAGGAGGAGACAGAGGAGAGAGGACTGCTGCACTGCTTCAGATGGTAGAGCGCTCGCTTAGCATACGACAGGTGGGGGGATCGATGCCCACATTCTCCACAAGACTTTAACTCTTTCTCCTCTTGTCCGTCTGTGATCTGTATCAATACTACTCAGAGTATTCAGAGTAAGTACAAATCTGTGTAACATGGTGCCATTATAACAAAAACTCACACATGTAAACACTTATTGATATATAATGTGCTATATTATTACTGATTCTTATACGTTAAAGGTCACAGTAATAACATGAGCAGCTGTGTTGGTTTAAAGAGATCGTATTTCATCTGAAAATATCTCATGAAACAGAGTCACTGCTTTATGTTCTACTCACAGTAACATACAATGACCTTTGACCTCTAACAGACTGTAGGAGTACTGTAGGAGTAACGTAGGAGTACCGTAGGAGTAATGTAGGAGTACTGTAGGAGTAACATAGGAGTACCGTAGGAGTACTGTAGGAGTACCGTAGGAGTAATTTAGGAGTACCGTAGGAGTACTGTTGGAGTACTGTAGGAGTAATTTAGGAGTACCGTGGGAGTACTGTAGGAGTACCGTAGGAGTACTGTAGGAGTACCGTAGGAGTAATTTAGGAGTACCGTGGGAGTACCGTAGGATTTATGTAGGAGTACTGTAGGAGTACCGTAGGAGTAATGTATGAGTACCATAGGAGTACTGTAGGAGTACTCCTATGGTAGGAGTAATGTATGAGTACCATAGGAGTACTGTAGGAGTACTGTAGGAGTAACGTAGGAGTACCGTAGGAGTAATGTAGGAGTAACATAGGAGTACCGTAGGAGTAATTTAGGAGTACCGTGGGAGTACCGTAGGAGTACTGTAGGAGTATCGTAGGAGTACCGTAGGAGTAATGTATGAGTACCGTAGGAGTACTGTAGGAGTACCGTGGGAGTACTGTAGGAGTACCGTAGGAGTACTGTAGGAGTACCGTAGGAGTAATTTAGGAGTACCGTAGGATTTATTTAGGAGTACCGTAGGAGTAATGTATGAGTACCGTAGGAGTACTGTAGGAGTACCGTAGAAGTACTGTAGGAGTACCGTAGGAGTAATTTAGGAGTACCGTGGGAGTACCGTAGGATTTATGTAGGAGTACTGTAGGAGTACCGTAGGAGTACCGTAAGAGTACTGGTACCTGTACTTGTTCTCATGCAGCTGTTCTGGTCCACTCTGAACCTCCTGAGGATCCATCATGGCAGCTGTAATCTGGTCCAGCTGAATTCTGGTCTGGTCTACGTGGGTCCTGGTGTCTTTATGCTGGGTTCTGGTGTGGTGTAAGTGGGCTTTTGTCTGGTCCAGATGGGTCTGAAGTGTCTGGACTTCTTGTTGAAGAGATGAGTTCTCATCCTGACAGACAGATGACGTGTGGTTGGCATGAGCAGGTCTACACCATGATCACCATTGCTCACTACATTACATGTTAATGAAAGACATCTCGACATCTATAGTACATCTGTAATAAACGGTGTAGCTTAAACACAGAGACTCAGGACACTGACGGACAAAAGTGTCGCATTAAAACCATCACAGTATAAAATCATTCCTTCTATTGTTGTCATTATTGCAGCAGGAATATTAATCCAGAAACATCAGATAGAATAGAAAAAACATTTTACTGATCAATCAATACTTTTACTGTAAGTATAGCAACTGTGTTTCATATGTTGAAGTGTTACCTGTCTCCTTGCAGTCTGTCGGGTTAGCTCCTCCCTCAGCTGCTGGAGCTCCACCTGTCTGTCTCTCAGAGCCTGGGCCTCCATCCGCAGCACAGACAGCTCCTCCTGCTGGACGGACACATCCTGAAGACAGACAGACAGGCAGATGTGTTAACCAGGGACGTGTCTAACGGCATCATGTCCCCTGAGAGACACACACTGACCCGTCTGAGTGTCCTGGCCCTGTCCTCCAGCTGTCTGCAGTGTCCCTGAGTGTCCTCCAGGTGGAGCTGCAGACTCTGGTTCTCTGTCTGCAGACCGTGAACCTGCTGCTGAGAACGACGAGCCTAGAGCACAAACTCCAGTTTATACACGTTTAATTATATACTACACATACATATATATATATATAT